TGTACAGTGTACTTATATAGAATATCAAAATCTGAGATTATAGATTAAATTTATTAATTTTTAATTTTAGATTTTCCTTTTCTTTATATTTTTTTAATATACCTTAAAATAATTATAATTTATCATTGTACTGTAATTTGGAATTTTTTTAAATCAAAAGTTTGTAGTGTTATAATAAACAAAGGGAGGATGTGATGATAAAAAAAAGTTAAAAATATACATTATCAAAAAGTTCAATAATCATATTGTCATTGTAATAATGATTAATTCAAATTCTTCGTACCAAATAAATTMTATTTTTAAATTCCTAGTACATAGAAGTATATTGCAATATCCTGGTTAGTATAAATTATAAATATTTTAAAACTCAATCACGAAAAAAAATGAATGCCTCAAGCCTTAAGGCATGATGCAAAAAGCGAAAGTTTGGAATATGTTATTGCTAATAAGTTATTAATATTCTTAAATGAAAGCTAATTTTCAAAACCTTTTATTATTGCTAACAGGCTACACAACTCAATCGTAATTAATTCGCATGTACTATAATACAATTCACGTATAGGAATTAACCTGCAATAGTTCGATATCAATTAAAGATATTTACAAATCACGTTATAAGTTAACTATACAAATTATAAATTTATTGAACTAATAAAATACTAGGTTTTTAATATTCTAACTTCTTAAGGAAAATTAGTAKGTATTATATCAAAATAATATCATCATTGCGTATATTATATAGTATATACCATAAGTATATTATTATCAAATATTTGCAATTAAATATTTCAGCTGAGTGACTTAGGTATTTTATTCGAAATGCATTTTCAGAAGATAAGAGAGATTATCTACTAAAATTACATTTTAAGAAAATTGCCAATTTTTAACAATTTCGGTAGGTATAAGAGCAARTCCATTAAAATTTAATTTTTTAATTTATATAAATCTCTAGACTATACTATTTTTAAAGTTATACTATTTTTTTTTCAATTACAAAATTGAAAAGGTTTTTTAACAATTCTTTATTTTTGTATCAAACGAGTACTCAAACCATAATCATTTATACTTAAGAAATAATATAAAAAAATTAACACATTACAAATTTGTTTATTTGAATATTTTTATTTAATAAACGTTAATGTTTAGACTTCTCTTCAAATTACGAAAACCCTTCTTCAATCAAAGGTAATCTAGCTTAAATATTTAGCAATACTTTTTAGCGAGAACCCACTACATAAAATCAAATTATATTAACAAACAAATAAAAATTAAAATTGCGTAAACAAAATGTATAAAACAAAATAGATAAAATCCGTGTTTTGATAAGAATAGAAA